TGCCTCAGCCTCCTGAGTAGCTGGGATTACAGGCACGCGCCACCATGCCCAGCTAATGTTTTGTATTTTTAGTAGAGACGGGGTTTCACCGTGTTGACCAGAATGGTCTCGATCTCTTGACCTCGTGATCCACCCGCCTCGGCCTCCCAAAGTGCTGGGATTACAGGCGTGAGCCACTGCGCCCGGCCAAAAGCTACATTCTTTTAATATCATTTATAAAGCGTTCTTATAATTTCTCAATCTTTTAATCTTTTAAAAAAGATTTCAATGGATTCAGATCTCAGATAGAAAATGGGGTTGTCACTTATTTGATTCTCTAAAGAACCCAATACCTACCTCATATAGTTATTGTTGGGATGAAATAGAACATCCTTTGATAATGGTAGATATCATTATTATTCTCTAAGAATTACTGTTTTAGAAAACACTGACTCTCCTAGACGACAAACGTACAATGTTCTCTTGGGTGACCACAGTGATCACTAAACACATTGCAGCAACTACCTGAAGATGAGAAAAAGATCTAAAGAAATCTTAAGTCTGGCAGGAAATGTACATGAGTATGATCAGAAAGGATCAGAAGGGAAGAGAGGCTATCTCCCTCAGCCTTTACCGTCTGATCTGCTCCTCAGCCACAGAGAGGGCATTCTCAGCAGCCACTCTTTGGTCTCGTTCTTCTTCCAGCAGCTTCCTTAATTCATTCACTTCCTGTCTGGTGTTGCACAGCTGCTGCTGAGCTTCAGAAAAGCTTTAGTATGAAAAGAAAACAGAGCATCACTAGATGCAGAACACAGTTGCTAATACAAGGGATTCAAAGTCTTCGTAAGGTTGTAAAGCAGGAAAATTCACAGAAGCCTGTCTGAGCATGATATTTTAAAAGCAAAGCTGTAGAGGGATTAAATGATGCTGCAGAAAATACCTAAAGAAATTTCAGGAACTGATTATCTTTCATTGTACTACCATAGAGTAGTTGTTAGTGGTATGTGTTGCTCTTTTTGTTTTACAAACTTTTCACACGCAAGTTAGTTATTTTTGTTACTATTTGATCCTCACATAACTTCTGTCAGGCTAATAATACGACATATTAAATCCATATGAAGGACTCCAGTTAAATCTAGAATACCACCCAGTTTCTGTACTCTGGTATATGCTCCAGGGTTGAGAGCGCCACTCCCCTACCTTTGCTGTGGCTCTCTTAGTTCCTCAGGGTCACTCTTTCTGTGAACTCCATTCTTTTCCTGGGGAGCTCCTGGAGCAACATCTATATTTAGTGGCCCCTAGAAGAAGAATAAGCTTAGTAATTCACTGAAAAAAACTCTTAAGAAAGTGTACTCGAGCAAAATTAGAGCTTGTTTATAGAGGACTATCCCCACTTAGAATTCTCAAGTTTAAATTTAGAAGAGAGAAGCTTCTGCTCTAGCAGATTGCTCACCTACATAAACCTCTTGTCTTGATTAGGTTTTTTATCCCAGATTCTCATTTCTGAATTTCTCCTCTTAAAAGTCAAGTCTGCTGTGGACGCTTATGGATTTTCCAGATGCCACTTTGTTCCTTCCCTTGCTTGCCAGCCCCTCCCAACCCCCTTCTCCTCCTCTATATCCTATACATCTCCATACTAATTCTCAGTCTCCTCTAACTTCAACACTGCATTTCTCTCCCTGGCTGTCAACAGTGCTGCCTGTTTTGTTTCTCAGGTCCAAAGCTTCCTACAATTTTCTTATTGCTTAAAGCAAAATCAACAGTTTATCTGTTTCAGAGTAACAAAAGTCTCAGTCATCACTGTTTCTCACTCATGTTTTGATTTCTCTCCTACCATCTCACTGATCGTTTTTCTTCTAATTGCTTCCCTGTAATTTTTCTCTGACCTTATTCCCATCTCAGTTAACTCTTTCTTCTCTCCCACTTTCTTCCATGACAACTAATTACATTAACTTCTTCCATACTGCTCTTTGGTGCTTCACCACTTGAATTCAATTTCATCACACTTCTCCCAGTCTCTTACCTCCTTACTCACTGCCTGCAGCTCTTGAACCTGCTTCTCCAAGACTGCACAGTGATTAAAAAGGTCACCATACTGCTGCTGGTTCTCACGAAGACTCTGACTGGTATCGCAGAGCTGAATGGAAAGGGTGTTTTTCTCTTCTAGTAGCTGAGAGAACTGAAACAGAGGTGAGGATAAGCAGCATCCTGCAGTACCATAAGCAGTGCTTAGGTGAACTGTTCTGAGTTTTCAGGATCTAATTTTCCTAAGGAAGACCTTTGTTTCAGCAACAGCAACAATAGCACTTTGTGTTCCTTCAAAGTTGGAAAACGCATATTTTTTTTGACCAAGACAAAAAACAAATCTGGAGGAGTAGCAGAAAGGTTTTGTTGTTTATTTTTAATGGTGCCCAGTAAATTAACCAAAAAACCATGAAACAGAAATCCATAAGCAATCTAATAAGATAGGCTATTCTGGGTATATAAGAGGGGGAAGGCAGTGCTTCAGGTCCAAGTTCATGGTACTAACAAATGACAATAATCTCTAGAACTCAACATGGCTAGAGAGAGCTGTCACCCCAAAATCTGTGCAATAGTATTACTAGACAGATTCCTCAATACCATAGAGAGTTATAAGTTACTAAGAGAATAGAATAAGAAATTATAACATGTGGTAGAAGAGAGAAACAAAATAAATCCCAACATGTCTATGTATGTCTCAGAAACTGTATTGGGAGCATAGATTCTCCCAGGTAGAAACATTTCAGTCACTTAAAGCAGGACTCTCCTCTACTGTATGACTAACAGGTCATTGTTCAGTCTTCCCTTGAATGTGTTCAGTATCAGGGTGCCTACTACTTGGCAAAGCAACCTGAACCATTTAAATTCATTTTTATATTGAGTGAAAAATTTACCTATTGTAGCTTCTACCCATTGATTTGAATTTGGTCCTCTGGAACTATAATTCTAATTCTTTACTTGCAGGCTGTCAAGTTTTAAGTTTTAGTTGTGATTAGCATCCAGGTACATTAATAACCACAGTGATGTCTCGCCAAGTTATCTATCATAGGGCCATGTACATTATGTGAGAGAAACCCAGTATACTGGCTGCATGTCAATCTTTTCTTGATGATTCTTTTTTGTAAGTTTTTGTGAAAAAAAGTTGAAACAATGTTTTGGAGAAGAGAGGACAGTTTTCTAGAGACACTCCGAGAAAGGGCATTTGATACATATAGAAAATCAGAGCAAAAGAATCCACACATACCTGTAAAAGTGCTCTGTTAGCTGAAAATTGATCTTCAAATGTAGGGTTATTTTTTGTGTTTGTTATTCTGAAAAGCAATGTTAACTTACAAAGTACTTTCACCAGTATCATCTTATTTGAGAGAGGTAGAGAAAGGATTCCTGTCCTTGTTTGCAAGCTAGTAGATGTCAAATTAGGACTCAAGAGTGGTTTTTGATTCCAAGTCTAGAGTTCTATCTATTATCTAATGGTGTTCAATCTGACAGTCTAGCAAGGAAAGTTAAGAAAATTATAGGAGTTTTGTTTGGGGGGGATGGGAGGAGGTGAGAATAGTTAGAAAAGGATATAAATATTTGAGAAGCAATATTAATTTGAAGAGAGTTAACTAGGTACAATGACAACTACTGGATTCTGAGACAGGAAACATATTCTTCCCTTAGCCTAGAAGCAGCTAATTTTCCTGGCCACAATGAACAGTCCAAACCATACCAAACAAAAACATAGGTCCTTCTAGTTTCGGGGCTGGCAAACTATGATCCAGTGCCTGCCGCCCTTTTATTGTAAATAAGGTTTTACTGGAACACAATCACCCCCAATTGATTCTATACTGTCTATGGCTGCTTTTGTGTTACAACTGCAGAGATGAGTAATTGTTAACAAAGACCATATGGTCAACAAACCTAAAATATTGTCTGAGCCCTAAGGAAAAGTTTGCTGACCTCTACTTTAGCTTATAAGCTACTATATTTCACTGTATCTACACCTATAAAAATGAAATAGGAGGGAACAATTTAGATTATATCACTAATCAACCATTCATGTTTTTAAGTTTCTAGCACATTCTTAAATTATACACAAACATCCAACCAAGCTGGTAGAAATGTAGTCATCCCTTGTTATCCGTGGGGTACTGGTTTCAGGACCACCCCTGACCTCCAAAACCCAGTATATCAAAATTCAAGGTTGCTCAAATCCCTTATATATGGGATGGTATTTGCATATAACCTATACACAACCTCTCATTACTTAAAAATGTTTTAAAATTCATGCATAATAGATGTACATGGTTTCAGAATACATGCTATAATGTAATTCATTCATATAATTTGTAAAGATCAAATCAGTGTATTTGGAATATCCATCAGCTTAAATATTTGTCTTTATGCTAGAAGCATTTAAATTCTTCTCTTCCAGCTATTTTGAAATATACAACAGACTGTGGTAAACTATAATCACCTACTGATTTACCTAACATTAGGTCTTATTTCTTTTATCAAACCATGTATTTGTATCCATTAGTCAACTTCTCTTCTTTCCCTCCTCTCCTTTATTATTCCCGCACTCTCTATCTTCATGAGATTTACTTTTTTTGCTCCCACACGAGTGAGAATGTGATATTTGTCTTTCTGTTCTTGGCTTATTTCACTTAACATAACGTCCTCCAGTTCCATCCATGTTGCCACAAATGACAGAATTTCATACCTCTTTATAGCAGAATAACATTCCCTTGCGTATATACCACATTTTTAATCTATTCGTCTGTTGATGGGCACTTACGTTGATTCTATATTTTGTTTTTTATGAATAGTTGCAATAAACATGGGAGTGCAGATGTTTTTTTGATATACTGATTTCCTTTCTTTTCAATATGTGGGTTGTTGGATCATATGATAGTTCTATTTTTAGTTTTTTGAGACAACTCCATACTGTTCTCCATAGTGGTTATACTAATTTACACCGCTAACAGTGTAAGAGAGTTCCCCTTTCTCTGCATCCTTGCCAGCATCTGTTATTGCCTGCTTTTTTGATAAAGGCCATTTCAGCAGAGGTGAGATGACATTCACTATAGCTTTGATTCACAATTCTCTGATAATTAGTGATGCTGAGTATTTTTTTTATATCTGTTGGCTATTTGTCTTCTTTTGAGAAATGTCTATTCAGACATTTTGCCCATTTATAATTATTTGTTTGCTTGTTACTTGAGTCCTTTATATATTCTGGTTATTAATCCCTTGTTAGATGGGTAGTTTGCAAATGTTTTCTCTCATTCTGTGGGTTGTCTCTTTACTCTGTTGATGGCTTCCTTTGATGTACAGAAGCCTTTTAGCTTGCCGTAATCCCATTTGTTTATTCTTGCCTTCGTTGCCTGTACTTTTCAGGTCTTACACAAAAAAGCCTTGGCCAGATCCATGTCGTGAAGCATTTCCACATATTTTGTTCTAGTAGTTTCGTATCTTAGAATTAAGTCTTTAATCCATTTTGACTTTTTTTGTATGATGAGAGATAGGAGTCTAGTTTTATTCTTCTGCATATACATATCCAGTTATCCCAGCACTATTTATCAGAAATTGTCCTTTCCCCATTGTATGTTCTTTGTGCCTTTGTTGAAGATTAAGTTGCCCCTAAATGCCTGGCTTTATATCTGGGTTTTTAATTTCATTTCATTGGCGCTCTGTGTGTCTGTTTTTATGCCAGTATCATGCTGACTTGTTTATTATAGCCTTTGTAGTAAAATTTGAAATCAGGTAGTGTGATGCTTCCAGCTTTGTTCTTTTTTGTAATAGAGTCTCACTCTGGCGCCCAGAATAGAGTGCAGTGACGTGATATCGGCTCACTGCAACCTCTGCCTCCTGGGTTCATGCGATTCTCCTGCCCCAGCCTCCCGAGTAGCTGGGATTACAGGCGCCTGCCACCACAGCTGGCTAATTTTTATATTTTTAGTAGAGACAGGGTTTCACCATGTTGGCCAACCTAGTCTCAAACGACCTCAGGTGATCCACTCACCTCAGGCTCCCAAAGTGCTGGGATTACAGGTGGGAGCTACCACGCCTAGCTTTGTTTTTTTAAAATCAAGATTGCTTTAGCTATTTAGGAGCTTTTGTGGTTTCATATACATTCATTTTTTTTTTTTTAACATTTCTGTGAAGAATATAAGTGGTATTTTGATATGGACTGCATTTAATCTGTAGATTGCTTTGTGTAGTACTGTCATTTTAATGATATTAATTCTTCTAATCCATGAGCATGAAATCTCTTTCCTTTTTTTTGTATCCAATTTCTTTCACAGTATTTTATAAATCTTTCAATTCTTTAGTTAAATTGATTTCCAAGTATTATATATTCTTTGTAACTACTATAAATGGGATGGCTTTCTATGTATGTATGTATGTTTTTGAGACAGAGTTTCACTCTGTCACCCAGGCTGGAGTGCAGTGGCGTGATCTCAGGTCACTGCAACCTCTGACTCTCAGGTTCAAGTGATTCATGTGCCTCAGCCACCAGAGTAGCTGGGATTACAGTCGTGTACCACCACAACTGGCTAATTTTTGTATTTTTAGTAGAGAAGGGATTTTGCCATGTTGGCCAGACTGGTCTCAAACTCCTGGCCTCAAGTGATCCGTCCACCTTGGCCTCCCAAAGTGCTGGGATTATGGGCATGAGCCATCATGCCTGGCCGGGATTGCTTTCTTGATTTATTTTCCAGATTGTTTGCTGTTGGCATATATAAATGCTACTGATTTTTGCCTGTTGACTTTGTATCCTGTAACTTTAGTGAATTTATCAGTTCTAATAGTTTTTTGGTGAATTCTTTAAGTTTTTCTAAATGTAAGGTCATATCAAGGGCAAAAAAGGCTAATTTGACCTCTTCCTTTACAATCTACATGTGCTTTATTTATTTCCTCTTGCCTAATTGCTCTAGTCAGGGTGTCTAGTAATATATTAAATAACAGTGGTGAAAATGGGCATCCTTGTCTTATTTCAGATCTTAGAAGAAAGGCCTTCAATTTTTCCCTGTTCAGTACATTATTAGCTGTATCCTCCCATATACTTTAAATAATCTCTAGATTACTTATAATACCTAATACAAAGCAAATGCTATATAAACAGTTGTTATATTTTTAAGATGCATATTTTTTTCTGGAATATTTTCAACCTATGTTTAGTTAAATCTGTGAATGCAGAACTTACCAATACAAAAGGCCAACTGTAAATATAAAATATGAACATCGGAAGAGAGAATTAGGGCACTGGCTTAGAAGAGAAGCAATCAATGGTGATAGTCTATCTACTACAATCTCATTCTAGGGCCCAAGAAGCAATTCTCCTAGTTAGCTCGAGTGAGACTAAGCTCTTGGGATTGTAAGCCTCATGAAGGACCATGTGTATCCTCAGTACCCAGCATACAGCCAGGCTCATGGAAGGCAAATAACAATTATCTGTTTAATGACTGAATAAGGCTAGGAATGGAGGTGCCTTTCTTACAGTTGAGTTCTTTTTTTCCCAGGCTGGAGTGCAGTGGCGTGATCTTGGCTCATTGCAACCTCCATCTCCCGGGTTCAAGCAATTCTCTGCCTTAGCCTCCAGAGTAGCTGGGATTACAGGTGCCCACCACCACACCTGGATAATTTTTGTATTTTTGGTAGAGATGGGGTTTCACCATCTTGGCCGGGCTGGTCTGGAACTCCTGATCTCGTGATGTACCCGCCTTGGCCTCCCAAAATGCCGAGATTACAGGCATGAGCCACCACACCCGGCCCTTACAGTTGAGTTCTAAAGGAAGAACTGTTTCTCACTTAGAATAACAGTGACCTAATGCAGCGTTTCTCACACTTCAAGTGGAATTACATATCTCAATAAAGCTGTTAAAAAACACAACTTTGATTATGACTTAGAACCCAGTATATAAATATATATAATTAAAACTAAAGTTTATCAAAGATAGACATACTCTTTATTATATATTACATACATGTTTTTACCTCATTTCCTTATTTGTAAAAACTTTGACTGTACTATTTGTAATAGACCCAAACTGGAGAAGCCCAAATGTCCTTCAAAAGAATAGAGACATTGTGGCATATGCCTACAATGCAATACTATACAGCATGAGAATGGAAAAATGACACTATATGCAACAACACGAATGAATCTCACAAAATAAATGAAACAATACAAAAGAAAAGATATGACTCCATTTATATGTAGTTCTAAGGGGTAGGAGTGAACAGAAGAAGATACAAGGGACTTCTGGAGTTCTGGTATATTCTGATCCTAGATCTGGGTGCTGATTATATGGGCATCTTCACCTTGTGAAAATATACCATACTGTACTTATGATTTGTTTACTTTTCTGTATGTTTTACTTCAATAAAATATTTAAATTTTTTTAGTTGTTACCCACCAAAATGATTTCATCATTTATTAATGGTCCTGAATTTCAGTTTAAAACACTGTCCTAGACAGACAAATGCCCAACATGATTCAGAGTCTAATGTTTGGAGAGTAAATGTAATATGGCTGAGATGGGATTTAGTTCATGGAAAGAAGAGATGGGCTAGAGCTATAAGGAGTGGAACTTCCGGAAATAGCTCATTCGCTGGAAGGAGAACTGCATGGCAACTGCTCTGGAGTCCCTCTGAAAACTCCCAGATAAATCTCCCAACAAAGGGTCTTCAGTTTAAATCATTTGGGCCTGCAAACCTTAAAAAATGCAAATGTCTCCTCCAAGTTAATAGTGTTAGTCTCTAATACTTTAGTGTCAATTAGTTGAATTTAACTACATTTAATAAGTACCTTCTACATATGGCAGGCACTGTGCTTTTCCATGTACATGATCACATTTATCTTAGACTGACTTCCTTCTAACACCTCAGGCAAGTTACTTAATACTCCCAAGGCCTTTTTCCTCGCCTGTGAAAATAGCCTAGTAAGCTTTATAAATTTTGGGTCACAGACCCCTTGTCAACTGATGAGTTCTTGTGATGTAAAGCTTACACACATACACACACACACACACCCCATTGTGCATATAATTTTGGGACATTCTTGGCTCTCCTCAAAGCTAATCTCTTGATTTCTGATTCTCATTGATCTCTAAATATCTTGTAGTTCTGTCATAGACTACTTAGCTGAGTTCCTCTCAAGAAAGCAGAACTAGGGCAGATGTCACTAAAGAATATTTTGAATAGTCAGAGAGCAATTGGAGGACAATCCTTAAGAGGGTGGGGTAGGGAGTAACCTCGGCATTACTAACAAGTGACACAGGTCGGGGGGAAGGCTTCCTAAAATAGTTGGCTTTTTTACTCTTACTGTCTGGATTTATCCAATCATTCCCAAGGACTCACCAAGGGCAAAGAACAAGAAATGGCCCTGTGTCCAGTGTTTTGGAATAAGCACCTAGGTTCTGAGAAAGTGAAACTTCTATACCCTAAGATATGCTACAGCTGGGACTCCATGCTGAATCGGCTTCTACTTGCCTTCTTGTTCTAGTCATGGAAAAAAGAAACTGAATTCCAGTTCAGCAGGAAATAGTTACCTTGCTATTCAGTTGCTGAATTCTTAATTCCTTTTGGTGAATTTCCTTTAAGCTGTCATTGAGCTGAGTCCTGAGAAGTTCTGTCTCATAAACCAGATTTTGCGACCCATCTGAGGAAGCTGATGTCTCTGGGGATGCCTGTCAGAACATAAACATCAATGAAATTCTCTCCTAAGATTGCTCATGCTTTAATTCCTTCCCTCTAGAAATCCTGTCCACCCCATAGGAAGTTATAAGGTGGCTTATGGACAATTAATAGTGGCTGATGGGCACTTAATTTGTAGGAAGCTGATGCTTTCTGGGTGGTGCCTTTATTTTTTTTAATTTTCTCTGCAATCATCATTTGTTTAAAAATTTATCTCTGAGTAACAATCAGCATTGAAATTACTCACCTGTCTTTGGTATTGCACTTTGAGGGGCTGAGTCTGAGAGGAAGAAGACCTCAATTCCCTTATAAGACTCTGCAGATGACTGAGCTGCTGATCTTTATCTGAGATAGCCATAAGGTACTGCTCCTTCATTCTTCTTTCATGTATTTCCCAGGAACTCTTCTCCATCCTAGAAAAAACATGACGCAATCACAGGTAAAAATATACTTGTAGCTGGGCGTGGTAGCACATGTAACCCCAGCACTTTGCTTATCTTCAAGGCTAATCAAATCTGGAAGTTAAAGAAAGAAAGTCTAAGAAAAAGGTGGAAAGAGAGAAAATGTGGGGAAAAAACAGAAATCTTTTTTTCATCTCTTTTTCTCTCCTCTAAGGATCAATTACATAAGGAAATAAGGAAAATAAATATCCTTTTAGATTACTGTTAGAGAAAATTTAAAGAAGAAAGACTGCAGAAAATAAGCCTTTAGTGCCCTGCAGCTTTTCGTAGGTTTACACTAGTACCAACACTTTAATATTTCTGTAGTTCTAGGTGATGTGGAGATAATATGAGAGGCATCAAATAATATGATGCTCTGATATGGTACCAATCACCTTTAGAGGGCCCAAACGTCAATGATCAGCATTAAAGTGCACTAAAGGACACAGCAAGTGCCTAAACTTTTAATGATAAGATTCTAACAGAATAAAGCTGGGGCAGCTGTTTCCTGAAGAAAAATGAAAGTTAAAATGGAGCAACTTATCTTTTCTCTTGAGATTCAATTTCAAAAAGAAGGAACAGAAATTTATATTTCTGAAGAGCAAAACTCTTATTATTTTGTCTTTTTTTTTTTTTAACTTGCTCTGCAACCATCATCATCTGTTTAAAAAAAGAATTTGTTCTTGTATTATCTGGGGAAGCTGCCAACTCCATGCAACGAGCTTAATAAATGTTCACTTGTAAGCAAGTCCATAAAGATGTTAAATATAAAAATCTTTTAGATGTAATTTTACTCCATAAAGTTTAAATCATTAATTCTAAAAAGCATTTTGCTACATCAATGTTGCTTAAGGTTTGAAATCTCATGTATCTGAACATTAAGAACTCTCTTAGAGATGTTATGATATTTATACTATATTGACAGTTGTCATCCTAATGGCCCCTTGTAAGCTGGATAGGAATTGAGACTCCAACTCATATTCTCTGTATTCACTTGCCTCTTGTCCTCTAGCACTGGTGAGACAAAGCAGGTGCTGCTTGATCAGCAGCAATTTCCAACATGGAAATTCTCCCTTTAATATCAAATCTTGAAAGCTTTGAGTTTGATTTTTTTTTTTTTTTTTGAGACAGGGTCTCACTCTGTTGCCTAGGCTGGAGTATAGTGGCACGATGTTGGCTCACTGCAACCTCCACTTCCCGGGTTCAAGCAATTCTCCTGCCTCAGCCGCCCAAGCAGCTGGGATTGCAGGTACACGCCACCACACCCAGCTAATTTTTATATTTTTAGTAAAGACGAGGTTTCACCTTGTTGGCCAGGTTGGTCTCAAACTCCTAACCTCAGATAATCCGCTCGCTTCGGCCTCCCAAAGTGTTAGGATTACAGGCGTGAGCCACTGCACCCAGCGAGTTTGAATTTATTAAGGCATGACCTATCTTAAGTTAAACAGTAATAGCAACCCAAAAATGAGGTTGCAATAACTAGACCGGTTTTTATACACTAAGTGTTTATTCTTGGGATTAAATTTGTTAGAAAAACTGAATTTTAAAAATCAGAATTATAGTTCCTATCTTAATTTCTTCTGCCATGATAGCATTGTTATTGTTCTGTTCCTTAAAAAGAAAAGAGCTAGGATTTCTGGTTCTAGACAAAATAAAATAGAAACATTTCTCCTTATTCCTCCAAATAAGGCTGAGCATCCCTAATAAGAAAATCCAAAATGCTCCAAAATCCAAAACTTTTTGACCATTGACATGACACTCAAAGGAAATGCTCACTGGATAATGCAAATATTCCAAAATCCAAAAAATCTGCAATCCAAAACACTTCTAGTCCCAATCATTTCAGATAAGGAATATTCAACCTGTATAGATAAAACCCTTGGGCATTATAAATAAAAACAAACATAAGAAAATTTAGAAAGATGAAGGTGGCAGACCAGCGGGATCCCCAGACTTGAGGAATGACATGGCGGCAAGTTCTTTAGTTTTTTATTTGTATTCTACATATCCCAAACTGAATACTGGAGAATTCCATGACCCAGGAACACCAATGAGTACCAAATTTACTTTGCCTTGCCAAAGGACTAGGAAGGGACAGTCTGGCTAGACAGAGACATTAATGATAATAACCACCATATTCCAGGCAAACAACATGGGAAAACCACAGTATCTCACCACTCCCATTAACAAAGACCTGGTGGATAAGCCAGTCACATTCTTGCCTGGTGGTGACCAGGTACACCTCATCCTCCCTACTGGAGTAGTGTGAGAAGAGGCCAAGTATGGAGCTTAGACTCTTACCGTTACCTAGTACTAAGAAGGTGTCTCTCTCCGACTGCCTCTCTTCCCCCCACTCCCACTGTGGTATCAGTGGAAGCAACATGTGGGGCCTGGACATTCGCCTCCACCATAACGAGGTTAATAAGGCACTCTTCCTGGCCTCTGCAGAGGTTGTAACAGAAGAGACCAAGCAGGGAATCTGTACTTTGAGTACTACCCAGTTGTAACAAGGTGCCCCCTCTTCAACCATTCCCCACAGTGTCAGTAGAGGCTAAGCAGATAGCCTGAACTTTCACCACCACCTGGCAATAATGAGGTGCTCCTCTCCATTCCTTCCAGCACAGTATCAATGGAGGCCATGTGGGGAGCATGGACTTCCACTTCCCCTTGGCAGTGTCAGGGAATCCTTTCCTTCTAGGGATATCAATGAAGTTGAATGAGGTGCCTGGAATTCACCCTTCACCTAGTGGTAAAGTGGCAATGTCGTCCTTCCCCTGCTGGTGTAGTGTCAGTGAAGCTCGCTAATGCACAAGATTCAAATAAGACTTATAAATAAGTCTTATAAATTCCAAAACAAATTCCAAAATGTCCAGCATATAACTAAAAATCACTCATCGTACCAAGAACCAGGAAAACCATAACTTGATTAAGAAAAGGAAATCAACAGATTATAACACTGAGGTGACATAGGTATTAGAATGATATGACAAGGATTTTACAGCAGCCATCATAGAAATGCTTCAACAAGCAATTACTAACACACTGGGAAAAGTATGGAAAGCTTCAGGAAAGAAATAGAAAATATAAAGAAGAACTGAATGGAAATTCTAGAACTGAAAAACACAATATGTAAAATAAAAAGCTAACTCACTGGGTACAATAGCAGTATGGAGGTAAGAATCAGAGAACTTGAAAATCAAATAGAAAATACTAAATCTAAATTATAAAGAGAAAATAATCAGTAAATTGGATTTCATCAAAATTAAAAAGACCCTGTTGAAGGAGATGAAAAGATAAGCTGCGAATTGAGAAAAAATATTTGCAAACCACAAATCAGACACAGAACGATACCTATAATATATAAGAATGCTTAAAACTTAGTAAAAAAATTAACCCAACTGGAAAATGGACATAAGACATGAATAGATATTTCATTCATCAAAGAGGGTATATGGATGCTAAATACGCACATTAAAAAGATGTTCAGCCATTATGCCAAGTGGTTTTGCAATTTCTTAAAAAAGAAAACATTCACTTACTATATGAGCGAGCATTTGCATTCCTGGGCAATCATCTTAATGAAATAAAAACTTATATCCACATAAAACCTATACACAAATGTTCATAGTAGCTTTATTAGAATAGCTAAAAACTTAAAACAACATGCATATCCTTCAACAGGTGAATACAGTGGTATATTCATAATATGAAACAGTATAATGAAAAGAATTAACGATTGACACATACAATTCTGATGGATCTCAAGGGCATTATGGCACATGAAAAAAGCCAATTTCAAAGGGTTACATACTACAAGATTCCAATTAGAAAACATTCTCAAAATGACAAAATTGAAAACAGATTAGTGGTTGCTAGGGGTTAGGGATATGAGGAGGGTAGGGAAGGGAGGAATGTGACTATAAACTAGTAGCACAAAGGATGTATTTGTAGTAGTAGAGTAGTTCTGTATTTTGGTTGTGGTGACGCTTACATAAATATACATGTCAGAAAATTGCAGAGAACCACACACATAGATACTCAAATGAGTGCATGTAAAACTGGTAGAATCTGAATATGGTCTGTGAATTGTACCAATGTCAGTTTCCTGGTTTTGATATTGTACTACAGTTATGTAAGATGTTACCACTGGAAGAAACTAGGTGAATGGGTACATAGAAGCTTTCTGCACTGTTTTCCCAACTCTCTATAAATCTACAATTAGTTAAAATGAAAAGAGTTGAAAGGGAGGGATTATCGTACCTGAGCTGATGCAGCTCATGCTGCCAGGAGAGGTTTTCCTGCCTGAGCTCTTCTTGCATAATCTGAAATGTTTTTGTCTTATCTTGATACTCCTGAAGTTGAGCCTTCAGTGGATGTAACTCAGTGATCTCTTGATTAATCTGTAAGTATTGCTGCTGCAGATTCTTCAATTCCTTCAGCTTTAACCAAAGGGAAAATAAAAAGATTATCTGTCACAACTCATTCATCTAACTATAAGTCATTGGTAGCTCCCTACTAAGTCAGTCAGACACAACATGCAACCAGCACCAAACAGTCCACTGACAACATACCACTGCAGCATAAGTCTCTAAAGTGGTGAAATACATGCAGCTAGACTGGTGAAAATCACCCATGGATCTGCCGTCAAGGCTGCAGGGTCTGACTGACTATTCCTGTAACTTCTACTCCTTCCCCTGGCTCCAAAGATTCTAAGTTCACTTTAGGGCTACAGTTCTGGCATGGGGTAGACTGAAGGGACCTATAGCTTCACCGTGAGTGGGCACATCCTAAAACAAGAACTAGTTATGTGCCCTGGTTAGAGTTCTAAACTTTCCTACATGACTATCAATCTTAACAGTAGCTTAGTCAATACTGATTATAAAGAATGCAGAGCTGCTCAGTGGTTAAGGACACTTAGGTTCTGGAGTTAGATATCTTACTACTTCTTGGACATGTGACCCAACACATGTTCCTCATACCCTCTTAAGTCTTAATTTTCCTCATCTATCAAATGAAGATAATTATGGTACCTTTTTCATAAGAATATTGAGAAATGAGAAAATTAATGCATTTCACACATAAAGTTAGTGATGATGACAGACTTGCCTTTAATTAGTAAAACTGCCTACCTACATTTCAGATATATTTTTAAGGTCTTTATCTCCAATACTCATTAAAAGCTTAGTAAGTAAGAAATAATGTCAGGACATCTGGGCAAAGATGGGGACCTTGTTCACACACCTCTTTCACCCATTTAGAAACATCACTAAAGCTAAAATAATGGCATTTTTTAAAGCACAAAACACAAGAACAGGAAAGGAATCAGCAGTAATAAAATTAATTTTGGAAGCTCGAAAGCAGATGAATAAGTGGTAACTGACTTATCAGATGTGAGAAAGCAGAACTCTAAAGCTGGCAATAAGAAAATCCAAGAACCGGTAGCACTTACTCTGCAGAATCTTCAAAAGGCTCAGGAATTAACAATATCAGGTACCTCTGGAAAGGTGGTAATGGGGGTGGGGGGGAGGTGATAGCTGAGATAAGGAGGTCTAGATGAAAGCTGATTAAGAAACAATTTCATTTTATTTTCTGTTTTTCTTTTTGTTTTTTTTGTTTGTTTGTTTTTTGTAGATACAGAGTCTTCGTGTGTTGCTCAGGCTAGTCTCAAACTCCTGGGCTCAAGTGATCCTTCTGCCTCAGCCTCTCAAAGTGCTGGGATTACAGGTGTGAGCCACTGTACATGGCCAAAAAACAACTTCATCCATAGATCCCCTCCTCAGCTCTACACTTTTTGTTTCCCCAACAGACAATTAGTTTTATTCTCTGGAGAGGTAAAAGGGAGGGGAGCACTACACACTGGGGTCAGTTGGGGGGAAATAGGGGAGGGACGGTGGG